CCAAATAACCAGGACCAATGCACACATACATACATATGTACAAGTACACAAACACACGTAGACACGATTCTGATGTAAATGTATGTATGGAATATTTTATATTTAATTTAGTTAATTAATTAATTCATTTAATTTCTTTTTTTGTGGGGTGGTACAGGGTATTTAAGTGTTGAGCCTGCTCGACTTTAGCATTGCTTTCTTGTTTTAATTAATGTGCACTTAAACTATTGTGGTAGTGTTGTATGGCAGAAAGAGGTAAAAACCCCACCCCATGTCCGGCGAGCTAAGTTAAAGCGTTTCAAGAAGTGCACTCCTTCCGAATTCTGCCCATGCAATAAGAATGGATAAACACGAACACCAGATCTACCCACACACTACAAACAATGTCTTCACTTTTGTATGTATGTATTGAATATATTTTATACAATTTAATTATTTCATTGTTTTCTTTTAATAATATATTTTTATTTTAATAATTTTTTTTTTAATTTTTCTTTTTTGTGGAGAGTACAGGCTATTTTACTGTCGTGTTTGCTCGACTGCAGCGTTCTCTCTTGTTTTTATTGAATCTCTGCATATTTTCTTAAGGGACTAACAATCATTTATAAAATCTTACTCTAATTTATTTTACAATTAATTGTGTTAATTTTACTTGTGTTAAACGGCCCTCGAGACGAAAATTGGTCCCTGGGCTGGTTGGTTCTTGCGCAGCAGCCGACTTTTGCTGCAAACTCGGATTAGAGTTCTTATAAGAGGATTTGGATGTCAGCACGGAGTTATAGAGTAGGTCTTTATAGTCTAGAGAAAGTGGAGAGCGAGCCTTTATGAGCCAGTGCAGATTACTTACCTTAAGCTTCAGCTGCGTCTTCTTTGCTTCGATATGCTCACGCCAGGAGAGCCGCCTGTCTAAATGTACGTCCAGGTACGTTACTTCATCGGCTTGTGGAATGAGTGCGTTGTTCAAGACCAAAGGAGGACAGCTTTGTTTATTTAGAGTAAATGTAACCTGCTTGCGTTTTTGTTCATTTGCTTGTATGCGCCAGTCTGCAACCTATCTCCCCACAACTCTTAAGTGGCGAGCTAGTCGCTCAGTTGCCTTTGCTGGGCATCTAGAGTGACTAAGAATCGCAGTGTCATCAGCAAACGTAGAGGTTGTTAACTGGTAGTCTGTAGGGATGTGCGCCATATGCAAGACGTAAAGGATTGGTCCCAGAATGCTGCCTTGGGGGACTCCAGCTTCGATTATGTCATCATGTGAGATGCTTGTGTTCCATCTTACAGCGAAGACTCCTTTGTAAAGGTACGACTCGTGCATTTTGTGCGTATTTTGAGGCAGTAGCTCGGTTATTTTGTACCTAAGTCTAGCCAGACTCGGTCAAATGCCTGTGCGACGTCAAGAAAAATTGCTTTGCATTATTTCCGATGTTCAAATGCCGTGCGAATCTCCGATGTGATGCGATTCACCTGTTCGATAGTTCCATGTTGTCTTCGAAAACCGAACTGATGAGATTGTATTGTGTTTCGCACTTTGAGGTATAGGCTTTTGTGCATAAGAAGGACTTTTTCGAACAGCTTTGAGAGAATGGTTAGTAAGCTTATTGGCCTGTAGGACGATGGCTGCGTTTTATCTTTTCCCACCTTAGGAATCATCACTAAGATCGACTTTTTCCACTTTTTTGGGAAGTATCCAAGCTTAGCTATTGCACTGAAAAGCTTGCAGATGTTTGCGACTGCACACCTAGGCAAATCGATATAATTTTCGGAATTATTGAATGATTTTCCGGGCTTTAATTGCTCTTTAATAACATTTTCAATTTCATTCGGCTGAAATTCCATTGACACAAATTGCTCTACTATGTTGGCATGTGATGAAGATGAAAGCACAAAAGAGTTTGTGGCATGGTTTGACTGGAACATTTGTTGTAGATGAACAGCAAATGCACTCGCTCTTTCTTCGTCACTGTGGAGCCTGCTGCCAGTGAGGCTCCGTAATGGCGTAACTGTTTCGGTTGGGGGAGCTTAGCTTCCGCAAAGCTCTCCGCAGTTGATACCTTGTGCGTGTGGGAGAGAGTTGCTCGATATACTGGACTTGGACATGCGATTCTTCTAGCTTGGGCGCCTTGGTGAGCCTGCGAGTAGCCTCTTTCAGTCTATACTTTGCAGTATGAGATCTGTTGGATTGCCATTCCCATCGCAGTCACCGCTTTTTTAGGACCATGTGTTCAATTTCTCGATTTGTTCTGATGTGGTTAAATTTTACATAATCATAATCATCATATGCGCATCTATTCGTGTCTGTGTAAACATGTGTGCAGTCAACCAAAGCACCAGCATTAACAGCCGCGCGCAGCGCTTGAGCAGCGCTGCATCAGCAAATATATTTATGACTATAACTTCTTGTTATATAGGTCTATCATGATGAAACTTGGCATACGGACATAACAAACGGGGGGTATTTACAAAATTTTAATTCGAAATTCCAAGAATTACGGGAGTTAAGATTTGCATGGGAGAGGGGGGAGGGAGGGAAATTCCAAAAAACACATTTTCTGCGTATTCACATAAGACATCTTGGACTTTAAATTTGATATCCCACACATAAAGCATCTTTGTGCAAAATTTGGTGTCTCTAGCTCTTATAGTCTCTGAGATCCAGGTGTTCATACGGACGGACAGACGGACAGACGGACAGACAGACAGACAGGGCTAAATCGACTCGCCTCGTCATACTGATCAAGAATATATATACTTTGTGGGGTCTGTCACGGCTCCTTCTGCCTGTTACATTTTCAGCTCCCGCAAACCTAATATACTCTTGTACATTTCATGTGCAGAGTATAAAAATGGAATTAATAAAGAAAATGGACTTAATACATACAAAGAAGACATATTTATGTAAATTTTTAACTGTATGCAGTTGTGTCTATGCGTGTTTATATGCCTGTACGTATGCAGCACAAAGTTAAACCAAAGCAGCAACAACGACAACAGGTGCGGGCAAAGCTACAAGCAGAGCATGGGCAGCGATTTTATTTATGGCTATTACTTTCTTCAGAATTGACCTATCATGATGAAACTTGGCATACGGACACATAAGCGCTAACTGTATGTAACTTCAAAATTGATTTCAAAATTCCAAGAATTACGGAAGTTATAAAAAAATACAAATAGCGGCGGAGTGGCCTGTCTAGGACTTATTGGCACCTAGATACCAAGTTTGGTAACTCTAGCTCTTGTACCTTCTGAGATCCTTGCGCTCATACAGACGGACGGACAGACGGACATGGCTATATCGACATGTCTTGTCATCCTGATAATATCCAATAATATATACTTTGTGGGGTCTGCCACGCCTCCTTCTGCCTGTTACATTTTTCATTTCCCGCAAACCTAATATACTCTTGTACATTTCATGTACAGAGTATAAAACAAGAGAGAACGCTACAGTCGAGCAAGCCCGACATTAAAATAGCCTGTACTCTCCACAAAAAAGGAAAATTAAAAAAAAAAATTTAAAAAAAATTAAATTATTAACAAGAGAGAACGCTACAGTCGAGCAAGCCCGACAGTGTAATACCCTGTACCCAGGTAAACTTCCGTCACTGAGTTATATGCGCCCATAGCAGCAGCAAAAAGTGGAAGAAGAAGAGCGAACTTGTTGCTGCAGTTTGGGGGGGTTGTACTGGCGAGAATTTGTTTCGCTATTGAATAAAATTAATTAAACAACAGTAGACAATTATATAAAAACTATGTGTGCGTAGTTTGGTTTAGGTAGCATTTGAAATGTGGACGCTATTGACGAAATTCTGTAGCGGGGGAAGGGGGGGAAAATTAAAAAAAATAAAATAAACTCGTCCTTTCTCGGACCTAGGAGAATCTGGATGCCAACTTTGGTTATTCTCCTGAGATCCTTGCGTTCATCCAGACGGACGGACATGTCTAGATCGATTTCTCTCGTCATGCTGATCAAGAATATATATACTTTATGGGGTCGGAGATGCTTCCTTCTGCATGTTACATACTTTGCACAAACCTAATATACCCTTTTTACCCTACGGGTACAGGGTATAAAAAGAATGAATTAATTAATTAAGTAATTATAGTAAATTAGAAGACATGTTTTTGTTCAGTTTTAACAGCATACATTTACATCACGTGCCAAAACGTGTTGAACCAAAGCAGCAACAACAACAGCTGCGGGCAGCGCTGCCGGCAGAGCTGCAGGCAGCGCATGAGCAGCGATTTTATTTATCATCATCATGATGACATGGACACATTAGTACTAGCTGGATTCCAAGAATTACGGAATTTATAAACAAAAACACGAATTGCGTGGGAGTGTATCAGAATAAAAAAAATAAACTTGACCTGCCTAGGACTTAGGGGAACCTCGATACCAAGTTTGGTTATTCTAGCTCTTGTACTTCCTGAGCTCCTTGCGCTCATACATACAGACGGACATGGCTATATCGACTCGTCTTGTCATCCTGATCAATAATATATATACTTTGTGGGGTCTGCCGCGCCTCCTTCTGTGTGTTACATACATGCGCACAAAACTAGTATAGCCTTTCACCCTTTGGGTACAGGCTATAAAATGTTATTAGCGAAACAATTTAATGCGTGTCTTTATGTGAGCTTGTATGCAGTACAGAGTTGAGTCAAAGCTGCAAGAACAACAACAGCTGCGGATAACACTTGAGCGAAGATTACATTTATGGCTATTACTTCCTTCCTAAATGACCTATTATGATGAAGCGTAGTACACGAACACATAATAACTGGACATTATCTTGTTTGTCAGTTTTGAGTCAAAAACACTTTTTCTGCGTATGCCTTATATTCTAGAATGAAATTTTGTGACTCTAGCTCTAGATATAGGTGATTATACAAACGGCGTTACGGAAAAACCACATTGGCGGGGAAATGAGTAAAAAGTAAGTAAAAAAAAAAATAAAACATTAAGTTTAATTTAATTTTAGTTTAATTTAACAACTTACATGACAAGATATGTAGACTTTTTGGCTTATTATCCCACCAACCGAATTGGAGAAAAGAGGTGACAGCACTGATGGTAGCGATTTACGAGGAGCTGATGAATCATCGGATGCATAGTTTTAAATGATCTTAACAATATATATTGATACTGAACAAAATAAAACCATCATGGCATATGTGGTTTTGGTGTTTTTTGAAAACACCTTTAATCCTGCCGCGTTTCCAAAATCCCAAGGAGTATGCGGTGATGAAACAGTGTGTCCAGGCGATACTTTTGTATTTACATATTCTTTACGATTTGTTATTTGTTTATTCACTAAAATTATACGAAAAATATTTATTTTAGTATATAGTTTTAGAAAAAGTTCATGATGGTTCATGGGCCAAAGAGAAACCATTAGTTAGATTTATACTTTTAAAGTAAAAGGCACAAGAGTATAGTATATTAGTTTTCCGGAAAGTTAAATATGTATATATATATTGTTGGATATTAAAATGTGTTTGCCGTATTTAAATAAAACCAATACAGCCACACTAAGGTATGTTGATAACCAAGAGAAAATGTAAGCAGTAAGAGCAGAACGTAATGAAGCATATTGTTGAAGACCGCATTACAAATTTGGCAAGTGAAAAACTATTTATTTGTTTACTTAAAAAAAATTGTAAATACAGATAAATGGTTAGAGCTAGAGACAGCATTCGAAAAATAATTAAAGAGCATAGCAACGCATATGTACATACATACGCATATCAAGCAATATGTCGAAGGCAGGAGTAAAAACGCCTGCATTTTATCAAATGTCTAACTTGGCTGAGTTTGCACCAAACAGCGAAACATTTTGAATTTGGAAGAAGAAGTTGGATATACATTTTTGTGAAGGGAACATTACTGAGGAAAGCGGAAAAAAAATCAACATTACTAAGGTCGATTGGAACAGCACAGTACAGTGTCTTACACAGTCTTTGCAGCCCGGAATCACCTGTCTCAAAATCATATGTGGAGCTTTGCGACATACTCAACATGCACTACACACCGCCCACTATAATTTTTCGGGAGCGCAACAGTAGCGAAACAGTAGCGGAATGGTACGATCGTGTAAAGAACATTTAGAGGCATTTGTTTTAAATCAGTTTAACATGTCACTCCCTACATTGATATTCGAGGAAGTTTGTGAAGAAGACGAAAATTTGTCATTGGCGATTGCATTAAAGAAGGCCATGATAATAGAAACCAAAATAGCAACAACAAAATCCGATGATAGCGTTAACTACATGGGCAGCGCACGTAACGGAAACATGAAGAATGCAAACCGAAGTAACAACGAGAGCGGCAACGGAGGTTTTGGAAGCACTGGAAAAGGGCTATATTCAAAGCAGAAGAGCTATAGCGAAAATGGAAGAGGCAAAAAGCAGTACAAACCATGCACACCAGAGAACTGCAACGAGTATGTTCGACCACCCTTGCTGAAAATTAAATCAAATCAGATCTTTGCTTGGCTGCAAATGAGCTCGAAGGAGTTGAGTACTCTCAGCATTTTTCTTATGATCGAACTTGCATGACCAATCTTTCTATTTTCACGAACAAGCACCGGTCTTGATTGGTTTGCTTTCAAACAGTTCAGGCTCGGTCACTTCGAGTATTCTGTTCCTTGCGAACGGGTACCAGCCTTGATTGGTTTGCTTTCAAACACTTCAGGCTCGGTCACTTCGTTTAAGATGATTGGGTCCTAATCGAAGCAAGCCAGACTTTGCAGAATGAGCGTTTGATCGAACGAGTATAGTGCCGTTATTGGTCGAGTATTGTTTGGGTATTGCGCTAGTAATACTCGGGTATTACTAGAGTATTGCGCAGGTTTTACCCGAGTATGTCTCGAGTATTGCGCGGGTTTTACCCGAGTATGACCGTATAAAAAATGAATGTATGTACATATTTTTATAGCCTGTACCCAAAGGGTGAAAGGCTATACTAGTTTTGTGGCAGACCCCACAAAGTATTTATATTCTTGATCAGGGTGACAAGCCGAGTCGATTTAGCCATGTCCGTTTGTCCGTCCGTCCGTCTGTATGAGCGCAAGGATCTCAGAAGGTACAAGAGCTAGAATGACCAAACTTGGTATCCAGGTTCCCCTAAGTCCTAGGCAGGTCAAGTTTATTTTTTTATTCTCGTGTGTAATGTAAGCCTGCGAGCTGCAAGAGAGCTGCCTGCGAGGAGTGATGAATTTAGTCTTAAGTGGATTGTTTGGTCATCCGGCCAAAAACAGCCAAAACCAGCAGCACAATTAACGTAAATAACTCAATACAAAGTGCTCGTTTTCTTGTCACTTGCTTTGCATAGCAAGCTGAGCACTTAACGTTTCCTTTTGTTGCTTGCCATAAATTTGCATAGGCTGCTGCGCAGCCGCCACTATGTACTAGTTATTGTCGCTAACTCTGCAAGTTAAGTTCGTTTTCGTTATCGCATCTGGTACGGAGAAGCTTAGCTTTCCGTCTACCAGCACAAACTTTGTAAATCTCGGCGATCGCTACCTATGCAAAATAAACATTTGTGAACCTCTTTTAAATTGAACAATTTCGTTTTCGCTTATTTTGCAATTATTTCGCCAACATAATTTCGCATATTTGGAATCATAAAAAAGCTTATGATTATACATTTTGGTGACCCCGACGTAATTAATAATTCCACAAAACCTTGCTTAATCGCGTTAAAAAACAAAAGCGTACATAATTGAGTTCATTGTACACAAAAAATATTCAAGTATATAAGTGCAAAAGTATAAGTTCATAGTGCCTACTGTACTGCCAATAAGCAGCCGTGTGAAGCGACGTTTTTGAGGGCAACATCAGCAGATAAAACAGTTATTCGACGGTAGCTGATGCAGCGACGCTTGCGCCAACAGCTTCGACGTCAACAGCTGTGGACAGTGCAGTGCAGGCTACGAACAATAATGTTGAGTTTTATAAGCGCAAGGCGCAATCATTATATGCGTGGGCGCTTTCTATTCAAAATAAAATAAATGATTGTGAAATTGACAATATTTCAGAAAGTGAGCTGCGAAAACGTGTGGAAATGCTGCAAAGTATTCAGGCCTCTTTTAATTTGGTGCATGACAAATTAGAGGAGCTGGACTTTGATGAGATTGGCAGCTGTTTGCGCTGCAATTTTGCTGAGCTGGTGGTCTGCATGGAGGGCCGCCTGCTAAATGCAATACAAAGGATGCAATCTGGCGCGCCGCCGTGTTCGACGCTTCGGCAAGATGATCAGTCTACCATTGTGATAAATCGGTCTCGTTTGCCTGAGCTTAAGTTGCCTACATTCAGTGGTGGATATACTGAATATGCAGATTTCGCTTCGATGTTCACATCAGTGATCGCCAAGGATCCAGATCTCTCCGATGTGGAAAAGTTGCAGCATTTGAGGTCAAGCTTAAGAGGATCTGCGTTGGACACGATTCGTGCGCTTGAGATAAGTGGTGCAAATTATTCAGTGGCGTTAGACCTACTCGACAAGCGGTTTAACAATAAGCGTCTTATTTTCCAGGCACACATCTCCGAGATTTTGGGCATTAAAAAGGCCGAAACTACAAGCAAGCTGCGAGAGTTGTCCGACAAAGTCAACGCAAATATGCGTGCACTGTTGAGCTTGGGCAGTATGCAAGATGTAGCTGGCAGCATCGTCGTTCAGACAATTTTGGGCAAGGTGGATGCTGCGACGCAGGCAAAGTGGGAGGAAGCCGCCCCATTAAACGTTATACCGTCATGGGAGCAATTTGCGACGTTCTTGGATAGCAGGTGCCAAAAATTGGAAAACATCGAGCATGCAATGGCATCATATTCGTCGAATTATCAGGTGGGAAAGAATAAAAACACTAACACGAAACGCTCGTTTGTCGCCACTAACCCATCCGCAAATGGTTGTCTGTTTTGTGACAATAACGCACACGAAATATACAGTTGCCCACTTTTTGGTAATTTGTCGCCTGTACTTCGTTTAAAGGAAGCGAAACGCCTCTCTCTGTGTATAAATTGTCTTAGAAAAGGACACAGAATGAGAACTTGCAATTCTGGATCGTGTAGAACCTGTGGTGCCAAACATCACAGTTTATTGCATTTTAATAATTCAGCTGCCGTAAATTTGATGCCTGAGCAATCGTCCGCTTCTGACTTACACTCGCGGCTGTCTTCATTGTTACTGCCACGTAGCGCTCTCGCAGCTGTTTCGCCAACATCGCTTGCTTCATTGCCTGCCCAAAATCTCGGCTCAGATGTTGTGCTCTTGGCCACCGCTGTCATCAGCATTCAAAATCGCGCCGGGTACCCTGCCGTGCACTGCTCGATTCCGGATCACAGTTGCACATTATAGCTTCGCGATTCGCTCACCGGCTCCAACTTCGAAAGACCAAGTCGTCGGCCTCTGTGTCTGGTCTTGGTGACGTCAGTTTCAAGTCTGATGGTTGCACTGTGCACTTATGCTTGCAATCATTGGTCACTGACAATTCCGCAAATATTACTGCTTTGGTCGCTCCTTCCATTACTGAGAACCAACCAAATTTCACGGTTGACATATCTCATTGGGATATACCAAGCAATGTCCGCTTAGCTGATCCGGCGTTCTTCAAGCCACAGCAAATTGATATGGTTATCGGTGCCTATTTATTCTACGAGTTGTTGTGCGTAGGTCAGATTAAACTGGCTGATGGCCTGCCACTTCTGCAAAAGACTCGTTTGGGCTGGATAGTTACTGGAGGTGGCTCGCAGCGTCAGAAATCTGCTTTGGTTGCATCCAAATCTGCGTCTACACAGGATTGCAATATACGAATCGAGCAGATGGTTCGCTCTTTCTGGGAGCTCGAAAGTGGTGTCGATCCGGCTGTAAAACTTACAAAAGAAGAGTTCGACTGCGAGGAGCATTTCAAGGCTAATTACAGGCGCCTGCATACTGGCGAGTATTCCGTCCGACTGCCTGTAAAGCTCAGCACAGATCTGCTTGGCGATTCCTATACGCAAGCCTATCGTCGGTTTATAAACACGCTTGTTCGATTTCTCACGTTTCCTATCGCTTTAACAGGAGACATCTGCAAGATGTACCGCTGCGTGCGAGTATCAAATCCGGATAGTTATTTTCAATGCATTCTATGGCGTGACTCGCCTCAAAAGCATATTCAAGTTTTCCGTCTTGATACCGTCACTTACGGTACAAAACCTGCCTCGTTTCTCTCCGTTCGCACTATGCATCAGCGGCTGAAGATGAGCATGAGCTATTTCCTATTGGCTCCGATATCTTGCGTCGCGATTTTTATGTTGATGATTTAATCACTG